CCTTAGTTTTGACTATGGAAGAGATGCATGGAAATACTGTAACCAACTGACACACTTTCTACAATTTGTAATGGAAGATGGTTTTTAAAAAAATGTTTGTTTGTCCTTGTTCAAAAACAAATAAAAATTGTTCAAAAAAAAACTTAACAGAAGCAAAAAATCAAAACTATGCCATCATAATCAAAACTAAGGAACAATAGAATACTTGATCAGTTTTCATTGTTTATGGTGATAAATGACTTTCTGTAATAATCATCTGGTTGTGGCAGGAATCTTTCCACAAAATGCTTCTCTTAATACAATTTAGCTAAAGAACTTTTGATGTGCACAAATACAAAACTTTTTAAGTATAAAACTGAGTATGATGCATAATGTCAAATAACTTCTGCTCTATAATAGTCATAGCCAGAATGAGAGAAATAAATGAAACCTGGGGGTTGCCAGGCCTTTAGTATACAGAAATACTGTTATCCAAGGAATGCAGCTTCATATTCCATCTTCTGTTCCTTTTCATCTAACTAAAATACTGAAGTTTGTGGATGATACATCAGCCATTGGTCTCATTTGAGATGGTGATGAATCTGCATACAGATGGGAGGTTACTGTGTTCCACTAACAACTCCAAATGAAAAGCTGTCAACATTTCTTTCCTTAGAAAACTGCTAAGAATCTATCCTTAGCATTAGTGTTGGGCCATGACTCCAAGTAGACCTAACCTAACCCTAGATTCATTTTCATTCAAATGGGATTTTCCCATGTATTTTACTGTGATCAACAAACAACTCTGAATGAAAAGCTGTCAATGTCATATTCCTTAGAAAACTACTAATAATCTATCCCTAGCGTTAGTTTTTGGCCATGACTTCAAGTGGACCTAACCCTAACCCTAGATTCATTGGAATTGGAATTGGGATTTTCCCATGTATTTTACTGTGGTCCACAAACAACTCTGAACAAAAGATGCCACTGTTGGTTTCTTTAATAAGCCTCTAAGAATCTATCCATAGCATTAGTTTTTGGCCATGTGTCCAAGTAAACCTAACCCAAACCCTAACCCTATTCCAGGGTTAAAATCCAGCAGATTCTGACAGGTTCTGGAGAACCAGTAGCTGAAATTTTGAGTAGTTCAGAAAACCAGCAAATCCACCTCTGGCTGGCCCCAGAGTTGGGGAGAATGGGGATTTTGCAGTAACATTCCCCTGGAGTGGGGTGGGAAAGGAGATTTTGCAGTATCCTTCCCCTGCCATGCCCACCAAGCCACACCCACCAAGCCATGCCCACAGAACCGGTAGTAAAAAAAATTGAATTTCACCACTGCCCTATTCCTTGATTCATTTTCATTGGCAATGAGATTTTCCCGTGTATTTTTTTGTTGACCACAATCAACTCCAAACAAAAAGCTGTCAATGTCTCATCCTTATTTTACTGATATCCACAAACATGTCAAAGTTGATTTCTTTAATAAGCCTCTAGGAATTTATCCATAGCATTAATGTTTGGTCATGTCTCAAAATAACCCTAACTCTAATCGTAGCCTTAGATGCAAAGATAATATGACAATGTTATTTATAACATTTCTTATTATATAAAGATAATATTCTTTTCCATTCCATTCCATTCTAATCACCTTCTCCATATTTTTATCAGCTTACTAACTTGATGGCATGCTGTCTTTTATACCTCTCAACAGATAAACTGGGAAAAGGTGCAGAGCTGCTTTGCCCAGCTCAACTATATCACAGATTTATAGAGGGGTATATTTGCAATATAGCTCTGATATCAACACTAATTAAAAAGTACAAATTTGCCTGAATGCAAGGGCTGTTTTGCTAGATGTAATTTCTTTACCCCAAAGAGGTTACAAAACCTCATGCAGCAGCACACTCTGACAGTGTCTTTGGAGAGCCACATGCATTTGATAACTTTGCAGTAATTGCTATCAGCTTTGATGGCACCTGAGCATCTGTTTGCAAAGATGCAAGATTAAATCCAGCCTCCCTTTCCTCATTTTCTAAACAAATAATCAGTATGGCTAATGCCAACTGTGCCAGCCTTCCTATCTTGGAAACAAGAGGCAGTTCTTCAATAATGAAAACATATCATTATGTACATACCATTGCACATAAATGGCGAGGAGGTGGAGAGGGTTGGTAGCTTTAAATTTCTCTGCATTTATATATCAGAGGACCTCTCATGGACCATGAATGCTAACATGCTTGTGAAGAAGGCATGGAAGAGGCTGTACTTCCTGAGAATGCTAAGGAAGATAAATCTATCTCAGCATCTACTTCTGTC